ATATACTTATTTTGTTATAGAAAATAGTACATTTACTATGTAGTCTAGTAAGTAAATAGCATATTTATTATTTAAATATACAAAATAGATATAGTAAATAGATAATAATTAGTATCTCTAGTTAGAAGACCTATATTACTTACCTAACTAGAGAACCTGTGTTACTTACAGTAAATAGATACTAACTACAAAAATATGTAGCATGAAAAGAAATCAGTGTGGAAGTTCTAGGTAGCCGAGTCTGCGGCAGAAGTTGCTGCACCCGGGCGTGCTATCTCCTGTTTGGATGGGAGGTCGGCAGGCTGTAAGAAAGGCACAGACCAGCCCCAAATGAAGTCTTTCTCTGTGATGCAGTTAGAGTGACTGAAAGAGAATTGAAGGACATGGCGTTCTCCCCAAGCAGATGTTTACTCAATGGCATGCCTATGTACTACCTAAAATCATGTATGGCTGCACCCATCGGATATGTCACACGTTTTTGGAAACACTGTCCTCATTAGAAGTTGGGTACCCATGGCCTGAAATAATTTTCACCCCCGCTCCATCCCCAGGTGTGGAGAGGGGGCAGCATGGGCCCTGTCCACCCATAGAGGACGCCATGCACACTACAGTTTGCATGCTGTCCTCTGTGACAGGGGACCCCTAAGATGGGACAATACACCACTTGCATAGCCATCTAGGAGGCCTGGCTGGTGGAACCCAGGAACCAGGACTGTTTCAGAACGGGGGTGAGGTGGACTTGCCAGTCCTGGGTCCTTCGCCCAGGCTCCACAAGCGGGGAAGCCGAGCCTGACTGGGGACCAGGATCACGTGCCTCTTTGCAGACACCGTGGGTGCTGTGTGCCTGCCGGCCAAGGAGCAGCATTTTCCGAAGGGCTCGCAGTGCTGGGTGTCTGGCTGGGGCCACACCGACTCCAGCCATAGTGAGTCAGCTCCCTGGGCCCTCGGTGCAGGAGCGGGTGTGGGAGGCATTCTTCCCCAGGGTGAGGCATGGCCACATCCCTTGGCCACATGACAGTGCCAGCCCTGTTTTTCCCTGGCATCACCCTTGGCCATGACTGGAGGCTCCAGTCTCCCCTGCCTGGGCCTTTCTGGGGAGAACATCTACTGAAAGTTTTCCCCAAACTCAGACCCTTTTACGCCACCTCCCCTTGTCCCAGGAGCGCCATGGTCTCACATTTGGTGTGTATGTGAGTCCTCCTCCTCTTCCCACTCCCAGCCTCCAAGTCTGATAGCCTCCTGCTTCCTTGCTCAGGGTCCACAGCTCCCACCCTGGGCTCGCCTCTGTGGGTCTCCATGTCTCTGGGACTTCTAATTACCTCCCCTCTTGCTGTTCTGCCTGCCTGGGTCTTGCTTTATGCCCGGCAGTTTTTCTCGGTGTCTCTCATAGCTTACAGCTCGGACATGCTCCAGGACACGGTGGTGCCCCTGCTCAGCACTCAGCTCTGCAACAGCTCCTGCGTGTACAGCGGAGCCCTCACCCCCCGCATGCTTTGTGCTGGCTACCTGGACGGAAGAGCTGATGCATGCCAGGTGTGGCCTGTGGTCGCTGGGGTGAGGGTGGGGGTGGAGGTGGGGGTGGGAGGACAGGGGGCGTGCTGTGACTTGGACCCCTGCCCTGGTCTGAGCTTGTCGGTGGTGTGAGACCGCCTCTCTAGAAGGAGGGGCATCTAGGCAAGTCTGGAGCTCATGCTAAGGGTTTAAGGAGGGGTGAGGCCAGTAGGTGTCTGAGCTAGAAGCAGGAGGGGCCCAGTAAGGAGATTCCACTTGCCATAGTGGTCTGGTGCTCTCCAGCAGGAAGAACTAACTGGCTGTTTCTCTGTGTCTCCATGCCTGGATCCCATAGGGAGATAGCGGGGGCCCCCTGGTGTGCCCAGATGGGGACACTTGGCGCCTGGTGGGGGTGGTCAGCTGGGGGCTTGGCTGCGCAGAGCCCAATCACCCAGGTGTCTACGCCAAGGTAGCTGAGTTTCTGGACTGGATCCATGACACTGTTCAGGTGAGTGTGGGGGCAGGAGTAGGACAGGGAGGTTTCTAAAGGACCTGCCCCTCCAATGCAAGGAACCTTACCCCTTAGGCCCAGGTCCTGCTGGGGGCTGGGGAGGGGACTAGGACATGTTCTCCAGAGTGGGTGGAGGAAGAAGTGAAGCTTAAACATTGAATCCACTGGATTTCTATCAATTTAAGGATAAACTGGGTAAGAGTAACCCTGAGTTTGTATCCTAGATCTGCCTTTTCCTGTGTCGACCTTCAGCAAGTTTCTAACTTTGGTAAACCTTAGTTTCCTGATGATAACCATCATGGCCGCTTATATGCTATTAAATAAGACCTGTACAATGCCTAGCACAGTGCTAGGCTTAGAGTGAGTGATCTGTAGTACTTTTTGTTTTTTTGAGATGGAGTTTTGCTCTTGCTGCCTAGGCAGGAGTACAATGGCACAGTCTCAGCTCACTGTAACCTCCACCTCCTGGATTCAAGTGATTCTCCTGCCTCAGCCTCCCAAGTAGTTGGGATTACAGGCATTCGCCACCACGCCTGACTAATTTTTTGTATTTACTAGAGACAAGGTTTCATCATATTGGTCAGGCTGGTCTTGAACTCCTGAGCTCAGGTGATCCACCCGCCTTGGCCTCCCAAAGTGCTGGGATTATAGGTGTGCACCACCATGCCAGGCCTGTCATGTTATTTATGTGTATATCTGTTACTGTCACTCATCCCTAGTCTCTAAGGCAGTTACTAGTGGCCACATTCCCTGCACTGTGCAGAGAGCTCAGCATTTAGCAGTTTGGGTTCTGCATCAACATAAACTATGTGACTCCAGGCAAGCCACTCTCCTTCATCTGTTCAATGGGAAGGCCAAGTGAGACAATGGATATAAAAACACATTAGTGGCTAGGCGGGGTGGCTCATGCCTGTAATCCTAGCACTTTGGGTGGCTGAGGTGGGTGGATCATGAGGTCAGGAGTTTGAGACCAGCCTGGACAACATGGTGAAACCCCGTCTCTACTGAAAATACAAAAATTAGGTGGACGTGGTGGCATGAACCCAACTACTCGGGAGGTTGAGGCAGAAGAATCACTTGAACCTGGGAGGCAGAGGTTGCAGTGAGCTGAGATCTTGCCACTGCACTCCAGCCTGGGTGACAGAGGAAGACTCTGTCTCAAAAACAAAACAAAACAAAACATTATTTACATAAAGTATTTTACAAATTTAGGGCATGATCATGAAAAGCATCTTCCTCTAAGGTTGGGCAGGGGTGGGGGTTGGTAGATAATACAGGGAATGTATGTATCGATCTTCTCATAGAAATCTTACAAAACATCTCGAGCAGTAGATATTTTTAGCCCCATTTGATAGAAGTGAAAATCAAGGCCCTGCATGGTTAAGTGATTTACTAAAATAAACATCGTTTGGCTAGTGTAGAGCCATGCTGTGAATCCAATTCCTTTCCCTTTTGGTCTAGGACTCCCTCCTCTGAGTCCGGCTGTTTCCTCCAGTCTCACTGCACACCGCTGCCTCATGCTTCCTGGGGCCTCTAGCAGCTCCACTAACAGAGGAGAGGCAGCAGCCTCCGATGCCGAACGCATGGACCTCCTACTACTGTGCGTGAGGAACAGTCACCACCCACCGGCCAGCCACCCAGCCGCCAGGTCTCTCCTCTTGGGCCCTGATTTCAGAGTCCTCTTTCTCACTAGAGACTCAATGACAGAAGAGAGGCTGGGGCTGGGTTGGGAGTACTGTGGTTGCTGAGGGATGAGGGGAAAGAGGAGAGAGGTAGGAGCTGGAGACGAAGAGGCTGCTGGAAGCAGCAGGAAGCCTACCCTTTTTCTGCCCTCTGCCCTCCCTGCCCTTGTGTGAGTCTTTTGGGAGGGTGCTGGGAGGTGCCCCCAGTCCTGCCTTTTCCCTGTGCTCTCAGGTGGGCTAAGTGCCTCCCTAGAGGACTCCATGGCTGAGAGGCTCCTGGGCAGATGGGGTCAAGGCTGGGCCAGCCCAGATGAAGCCTACAGGAGTCAGGACCCTCTCCACTCTCCCTCTCCACTCCCCTTCCTGTTCTCACCTGGCTCTGGCTGGCCCTGTATGGGGTGGGTGCATTGGAAAACAAGAAGGTTGGAGTTGGTCTAGGACATTGGTTTTAAATGACAGTTCTGTGAACTGGTCCAAGGAGTTCTGTTATTAAAGTGGTATATGGTCTTGGTCCAGTTTTCTCTGTCTGCCTCTCTCTCACTTGCACAAAGACAGACAGACAGACACAAACACACACCCGCCCACCCACACAAGCACATATTGCAGGGTAGAATTACAATTTTCCTGCTATCTTCTATACATGTTGAAGCTTTGGTGCTGACTCCTGCTCATCTACTCTAGAATTTTGGTTTGTGCTTGTTTTGCCCAGGCTGGAGTGCGGTGGCACCATCTCAGCTCACTGCAGCCTTGATGCTGTGGGCTCAGTGGATCCTCCCACCTCAACCTCCCTGGTAGCTGGGACTACAGGTGCACGCCACCACACACAGCTAATTCTTCTTTTGTATTTTTTATAGAAATGGGGTTGGCCAGTTGCGGTGGCTCATGCCTGTAATCCCAGCACTTTGGGAGGCCGAGGCGGGTGGATCACGAGATCAGGAGATTGAGACCATCCTGGCTAACATGGTGAAACCCTGTCTCTACTAAAAATACAAAAAAATTAGCCGGGTGTGGTGGCAGCACCTGTAGTCCCAGCTACTCGGAAGCTGAGGCAGGAGAATGGCGTGAACCCGGGAGGCAGAGCTAGCAGTGAGCCGAGATCACGCCACTGCACTCCAGCCTGGGTGACAGAGTAAGACTCCATCTCAAAAAAAAAAAAAAAAAAATCTACATGTCATGATCTGCAATGAAAAGCCTTAGCCATCCAAGTGCTCTGAGGTTTTGAGTTTGAGAACTGCCTAAGTCAATGCTCTCTTGGGAAGGTTTGGTTTCCCTGCAAGGTCCATCTCTCCTTCTCTCTTTTTTTTTTTTTTTTTTGAGACAGAGTCTTGCTCTGTCACTCAGGCTGGAGTGCAGTGGCGCCATCTTGGCTCACTGCAATCTCTGCCTCCTGGGTTCAGGCAATTCTCCTGCCTCAGCCTCCTGAGTAGCTGGGATTACAGGCACACTACAGCCACCATGCCTGGTTAATTTTTTTTGTATTTTTAGTAGAGACGGGGGTTTCACCATGTTGGCCAGGCTGGTCTCGAACTCCTGACCTCAGGTGATCCACCTGCCTCGCCCTCCCAAAGTGCTGGTATTACAGGTGTAAGCCGCCGCACCTGGCCCCATCTCTCCTTCTTAGCTCTTGTTTTGGAACTGGGCCTTTTGACTTGGCCTCTCTGTCAGAGTTTATGCCCAGTTAGCATTTCCTTGGTTAAGCCTCTCCCCTACTCTCTCCTCTCTAGCACTTAAAATGTAATTGGCATCTTGTTTCTAAAAACTGCAATGAATTTTTTTATGGTGCTTACCCAAAGAAATGCAATCAGTGTTTAGCAATAACAGAACTTTGTGAGTTTATCAGCATATTTTGTGAGGAGTTGTACAAATGATTACTCATTCCTAGAGGGTCTGCTCCCTTTACATGAAGTGAACTAAAAAATGAAGGTTTCAATTTACTGCCAGTTTATTAACCAGGGAAATAGTTGCTGGGAGTCTGCTGTCAAACTGTAGAAGCAACGTGGGAGAAGTTCTGCTGAATGGCAAAATAGCCTCGCCCTGTGTCCCTGGAGGTCAAACCTCAGCCTTTACCCTGAGATCAACATTTACTGCCCAGCTCCCGTAAGTCCCTGTCTCAGGAGGCACTGATGGGGTAGTGGATCCCCCTGGGCAGGGGATAAGTTAACAGCAAATCCAGCAGCTGTGATCTTTTTTTGTGTTTCTGATGTCAATCATAATCATTTGCATATTTAAAGGGAAGTTTAAAAAAATTACAGCCATCAAGGTCTTTCAATAATCACTAACATTTGAATAGTGTTTTTCAGTGTAGAAAACATGCCCGTATGTGGGAGCTCACAACATCTATATGGTGCAGATATTATTATTATTGTCCTCATTTTCCAGATAAGAAAATTCAGAGAGATTAAGTGACTCCCCCAAGAACACCCAGCTGGTAAGCACCAAAGCCAGGATGTCAACCGTGGGTCTTTTTACTCTAAATCCACATCACTGTCATGCATGGATGAATGAGATGGTCCAGTATTGCACAGCAGAACAGAATTGAAATGTACTTGCTCAGGTCACCTGGTCTAAGTCACCTGCTTACAGTAATGCATTGACACACCTACCTTTTAAAATTTGTTTTGTTTTGTTTTTTTAGACAGAGTGTTACTCTGTCAGCTAGGCTAGAGTGCAGTGGCACAATCTTGGCTCACTGCAACTTCCGCCTCCCAGGTTCAAGCGATTCTCGTGCCTCAGCCTCCTGAGTGACTGGGACGACAGGTGTGCACCACCAAGCATGGCTAATTTTTTTTGTACTTTTCTTTTTTTAGTACAGATAGGGTTTTGCCATGTTGGCCAGGCTGGTCTCGAAATCCTGGCCTCAAGTGATCCACCTGCCTTGGTCTCCCAAAGTGCTAGGATTACAGCTGCAAGCCACTACACCCGGCCCTACTTTTTTATAGATGAAGGAACCAAAACCCAAGAATTTTAGAGGCTCCTGCCAAAGACCCTTCTTAGGAAGTATTCTTAGAAATTCCCAGTTCTCCCTGAGATTCATGGTCTGACTAAAACTTACAAATTAATATCTCCTGTAGGAGAGCTATAAAGGGTACCCTAATTAGAGAATTTGCTAATAATGATTCCTTGCTTACCTGTACAGAAGCTCCTGTTCTCTTTGGCCAGGCAGTCAGATCTGCGGATGCAGAAGCTCTCACTTTCCTTGTTAGCATCTGCCAGTTCAGCTCTTTGGAAAGGGAAAGGAAGCGAGTGGCCTGGCCAGCTCTGTTCCCCTGAGCCTGCTCCTGGAATGAAGGGGTGGAGGTGGGGCCAGGAAGGTTGGGAAGATTCGGGTTCAGAAGGGCTTTAATGAGGACCAGCTGGGTTCCCAGTGCTCTTAAGCTCTGTAGGGAATTCGGAGGTAGAAAAGCCGACTGTCTTATTGGAGAAATGACTTATTTGCAATAAATTACTAGTAGCCAGCCAGGCGCAGAGCTGAGTAGGGAGTTAGTAATTGCTCAGTGAGTTCCAAGAGCCTATTGTTAGAGAAGTCAGAGCAACGCTGTATGTGCGAAACCTCTGCCTTCCTCCGGTAGGATTCAGCATCACACCTGCTTGGGCAGAGATTTCCAGCCTCCTGAGATGTTCCAAGAGGGTCATTCCTGGCTGCCACGATGGCTGCAGATCCCTTCCCTCTTCTTCTATGTGCTTGTGGGGTCTCAAGGACTCTAGAGGGTTCAGCATCCCTCTAACA